GTTCATGAGATGAAGCTGGAGAGGGGCTGGGATTCGCAGTCCGGAGTCATGGGTGTCTGGGTGGCGTTTCGCAGGCTCTATCTGGGTTTTATTGAGCTGCTCAGATCCTGGAGTGAGGTACGGGCTCCTGAAGCGTTCTGGAGCCCTAGCTGGGCACCGGCGCCCCCCTGCAGTCTCCACCTTCGAGCAGGTCAGTGACCCAGCCTGGAAGGAGTCTTCCTTTGCCCAGAGCCTGTGTTTTCTTACAGATTCTCTCCACCATGGCCAGACGCCCCCGGAGCAGCAGGGCCTGGCACTTCGTCCTGAGTGCAGCCCGCCGAGACGCAGAGGCCCGGGCCGTGGCTCTGGCAGGCTCCCCTAACTGGGGCTATGACTCTGATGGGCAGGTAGGTGCCAGCAGGTGAGGCGGACCTGGTTGGGCTAAGGTGTGGAGATGCCCTAGGCAGGCGGGCAGGCATTAGCTTATCAGGGAATCATAGGGAAACATGCTTCTGAGGCCAGAGCACCAGGCCAACCCTAGGCCTGTTTCCTGGGTGCACCACGTCCAGTGAGACTCTTCAATTTGGCAAAGGACACACAGCCTCAGGGGTGACATGACCTCCAAACAGACACTGCATCCTTCACTGTGCCCTCTCCTGGGAAAAGCATGGTGTATGGAGAGGTTGGTATTTGCTTTTGTTTCATTCAACAGAAGCTCTCTGCTCTGGGGCTGGGCACTGCGGCTCACACCTATAATTCTAGCACTTTGGGAGGCTGAAGTGGGAGGATCACTTGAGACCAGGAGTTTGAGACGAGCTTGGGCAACACGGTGAAACTCTGTCTCTACAAAAATTTTAAAAATTTACCAGGCGTGGCATGCGCCTGTAGTTCCAACTACTCAGGAGGCTGAGGTGGGAGGATCGCTTGAACTAGGGAGGTCAAGGCTGCAGTGAACTGTGAACACAACTGCATTCTAGCCTGGGTGACAGAGCTAGACCCAGATTGGAAAAAAGAAAAATTCTTTGGTTTGCCCGGCCGGTTTCTGGGGTGATGACAGTCAGCTTGTTGTGTGTCCTTCCAGACGTTTATTCTGCTGGTACAAACACATATGCTGTTCACATATATGTGTGTTAAAAAAAATCGTTGGAGAAATTTCTGCACCTTCCCTGCTCAGGGAGGCCCAGGAACCTGAAGGTGGTCAGAACAGCTCAGGTGTTTGTGGCATGGCTGGTCTGATATGCCTGTGGGCTTTGCAGGCAGAGCCACCTTTGGCCCCTGACCCCTGCCTTGATAGGCCCTGGGGGCAGCTGCCTGGCCTGAAGGGTTGCAGTGAGGCTGGGAGGGGTAGGGGTCCCGATAGGGGATGACTTCCCAATGGGTTTCCTGAGCTCTGCCTCGGACCAGAGCATAAGACTGGCTGCGCCTTCCTGCCCCACTTCCTGCTGCCGCAGGTCTTGTACCCTGGAGCAGTTTGTCCCCGCCTTGGAGGACGTGGGCGTGCCCACAGGCCAGTGTCTGACACACACATGCTGCTTGTCCTTGGTCACCATGGGCTGTGTCCTTCCGGGGCTGCTGCTCGCGTGACCAGCACTGCTCCCTGCTGTCATAGCTGCCCTGTGCTATTGTCCAGGTTCAGCCAGGTGTCCTGGGAGGGGCTGGGCTCCTCTCTCTGAGTAAGGACTCCCTGAGCCCAGTAGCCCCACTATGTTTTGGGGGCATGTTGGGAAACAGGGTTTTTACCCACTGGGTGGGCACTGTCCTGCACTCTCCTGAAGCTCCCTGCTCCATCGGGGGAAAGGCCCCAACCTGCCTTCCCGCCTGCCCCTAGGTCACGTGGCCTGGAGCACTGTCCTGGGCCCACCTGGGCCACACAGGCTGGTGGCTGTGGGTTGCAGGCCTGCCTGCAGTTTGGGTAGTGTCTTGACACACATATTGTGTGTCCTCTTTCACCAAATGGGCCTGCATATGTTGTGGGCAGGAGGCGGGTACCTCCCTTCCTTCTGCCAGAAGCTAGCAAGAGTGTAGCCTGTCTCCTCTCCAGGAAGCTTGGCCCTGGGCCTACAGTGCAAGTGGTCAGTTCTGTGCCCTGGCTGCTGGCTCTGTGGGCCTGCCCTGGCTTTGGGGACCCCCACCTCTAGGCAGTGGGGTAGAGTACTCTGCGCTTGCCTTGTCTGTGGGGTGGGGCCATCCCCTTCGGAGAGGACAGTGGCCTGGCACCTGAAAGCTGGTGGCATCCCATGTCATGGTTCCCTGTGGCTTCTGGGGGCACATCACCCTCTGGAACAGCTCCCAACCTGTGCCCTAACTGTCCCAAGGCCTATGCCACGGGGACGCCTCACTCACTTAGTGCTCTCCCTGCTGACCCCGTGGTCCATTTAGCCCCTGGGTGTGACAGGGAGGAGGCTGGGAGGGGCGCCACCTCCCACAAGCTTACATTCTTGTTGGAAGAAGCCAAGAATCTGGACAAAGAACTTCAGAGAAGCACGAGAAGGAACAGGAATGAAGGGTCTGGAGAAGCCTTAGGGAGGTGACATCTGAAGGCGGCATCAGGAGGGGCAGGGCCTGTAGTGGGTGCTGGGCAGCAGGACCCTGTGGTAAGGCAGGGTCTGCTGAGGTTATAGGAAGGTCATTGGGCCACAGTGTAGTGGGTGGCCAGGTGGCTGCAGCTGGGCCCACTGAGGGGGTAGTGGTCTTGTGTGGGACCCCAGCAGGGCTGGCCAAGCAGGAAAGGTACCCACACCATCTCAGCTCTGGGCAGCTGGGCTGGGCTCGGGGCTCATCCCCTGTCTAGAAACCACTTGGAGGCCAGGCAGCCTTGAGTGTGCTCAGTAGCCGGGCCTCCAGGGCCCTCCTGCTCGTGCAGAATCGGGGAGAGCTGAGCCTGTTGTGAAGGAGACTGGGCTGTGCACTTGGGATACTGTGGAATCCTTGGAGGCCTGAACCCCTATCCTTTCCTGGGTGGGTGAGGGCCATGGGAGGAAGATACTTAAGCTGGGCTGGCAGAGGGCACGGGTGAGAGGGCAGAAGGTGGGGAACAGCTGGCCCTTCTCTCCCAGCACAGCGACTCGGACTCAGACCCCGAGTACTCCACGCTGCCACCATCGATCCCCAGCGCGGTGCCCGTGACCGGCGAGTCGTTCTGTGACTGTGCCGGGCAGAGTGAGGCTTCCTTCTGTAGCAGCCTGCACTCAGCCCACAGGGGCAAAGACTGCCGCTGTGGAGAGGAAGACGAGTGTGAGCTTGGGACCCGGCCCCTGATGGGACAACACTGGCGGGTGGGCCTGGGGGGAAGGCAGGGCGGAGCGCCTTGGAGCTCTCAGGGCTGCCCCAGCCTGGGCCTCTCTTGCAGATTTTGACTGGGTGTGGGATGACCTGAATAAGTCATCAGCCACCCTGCTGAGCTGTGACAACCGCAAGGTCAGCTTCCACATGGAGTACAGCTGTGGCACGGCGGCCATCCGGGGCACCAAGGAGCTTGGGGAGGGCCAGCACTTCTGGGAGATCAAGATGACCTCGCCCGTCTATGGCACTGACATGGTAAGTTGCCCTGGCCCAGGGTGCTTCTGGGGGGCCTGGCCCTAGCAGCCCAGCCCCACGCCCTCTGCCTGGCCTCCATTCCTAGATGGTGGGCATTGGGACATCGGATGTGGACCTGGACAAATACCGCCACACGTTCTGCAGCCTGCTGGGCAGGGACGAGGACAGCTGGGGCCTCTCCTACACGGGTGCGTGAGGCCCAAGGTGGGGCGGGGCCAAGCCTGGGGCTCCTCGGCTCACCCCGACCCTGGCTGCCCACAGGCCTCCTCCACCACAAGGGCGACAAGACCAGCTTCTCCTCAAGGTTCGGCCAGGGCTCCATCATCGGCGTGCACCTGGATACCTGGCACGGGACACTGACCTTCTTCAAGAACAGGAAGTGCATAGGTGAGGCAGTCACAGGACTTGTGCTCCTCCCAGCTGTCACCCTGGAGGTGGCCACCCCAGCTCAGTGGACACAGGTTTCCTGAAAGGCTTTCTCCCAGAAGCATGAGGCCCCGGGGTCCCAGAGGGCGGGATGGTGAGGCTGGGCTGGAGTGGCAGGGCCAGCACGTGTATGCAGGTGACTGCAGTGTGAGGCCTGAGGGGCTGCACCTGGAAGCTGGCCCCTTCCCTACCCAGGGTTCAGGCTGGGCCCTCCCTTCCAGGCGTGGCAGCCACCAAGCTGCAGAACAAGAGGTTCTACCCGATGGTGTGCTCCACGGCGGCACGCAGCAGCATGAAAGTCACCCGCTCCTGCGCCAGCGCCACCTCTCTCCAGTACCTCTGCTGCCACCGCCTGCGCCAGCTGCGGCCGGACTCGGGGGACACACTGGAGGGCCTGCCCCTGCCACCAGGCCTCAAGCAGGTGCTGCACAACAAGCTGGGCTGGGTCCTGAGCATGAGCTGCAGCCGCCGCAAGGCTCCAGCGCCCGATCCCCAGGCGGTGGCATCGGCCCGCCCCAGCAGTCCTGAGCCCCGGCCCTGCCAGAGGAAGCGCTGCCGCCGGACCTGACCGACTTCCCAGTGGCTGCCTCCCTAGGCTGGGACAGCCATTTTCTCTGTTCCTTCCGGCCACACTCCAGGGTGGAGTTGGATGAGCCATCTCTCACCTCCTGAGGCTGGGTCAGTCCTTTCTGTGGGGGCTCCAGGGCTCTTCCACTGCTGTGCTGGGTGGGGAAGCAGCCACCCCAAGCCCCAGGTCTCCTGGGAGGCTGCGAGGAGAGCCTGGCTGGAGCCCGCTGTTCCCACAGGGCCTTTGTTGTTCCTAACTTGCTCTGCATGCTGTCAGCGGCAGCCCTGCCATCATAGACCTAAGTGACTGCAATAAATGTAGAGTTGTTGTCTAACACCCCGTGGCGGGAGCCAAAACATCCACACAGAGGCCGGGCTTTTGAGCATCCCGGGCATTCTCCCAGGCCTGGCTGCCCCTCCACATCCGTGGGAGTCTCCTACGGTTTCTGGCTGAGCGTGCCACACCCCAAGCCTCCAGGTGGCAGTGGGGCCCTGGTGCTGCCTTCAGCCCCTGCCACATTGTGTGTGTGGAGTGGGGGTAGGGGAGACAGCCTTGCTGCTGGGCTCCCCTGTGTGTGCAGGGTTTAGCATAGGAATCACCAGCCTCTCCTGCCAGCTGCAAGCCGGAAGCCCCTCCTTTCATTCCAGCTGCCTAAAACTTTCCCTGCAACCACATACCCTCCCCCTGAGATCAGACCTGCCCAGCCAGAGACTGAGGGTCCACATGTGGCTGGGGTCCTCCCCACTACCCTGCAGGGTGTCTGGTCTGTTCCTAAGGCTGCATGCTGTTCTGGTGGTCCCAGATGTGGTCAGGAGCTCAGGTCCAGGAGGAGGTCAGGGTTGGCCGTGGTCAGGAAGAGGCAGATGCGGCGGGAGAGGTCAGGCCCCACCCTGCGGGACCGCCCATCTTCACTGGCCATCACGGGGAGGTCAGCTAGGAGGCGCAGGCGCTCCCGCTCCGTGCTGCAGGCCATGAACGCCTGGGGGCGGGCAAAGGCATGAGAGGACTTACCTGGCGGGGCCTTCACCTGCAGGGCTGTGAGGAGGGAGGGGCCCACCTGTTGTAAAAGGCGCGGGGAGGGGAAGGCTGTGACCACAGCGTCAGCCACGGCTGGGCTGACCCGACTGAACTGCCTGATCTGCCTCCACCAGGCCCCGCGCAGCCCTGTGCCGTCTCTTGCCACCGGCTCACCCGCTGCCCAGCGCCCTACTGTGCAAAAGGAAAAGGCCTGGGATTCCCGGTACTGCCTGGAGACAGGGAGGGACAGAGAGAGGCCTTTGAGAGCCTGGGCACTCCTGAGCAGCAACCCAGTGCTGCTCTGCCCTCAAAGAGGCTGGGGAGGCCCCACTACAATGAGGCAATCCTGCCCCCTTCAGCCCAGGCGTCACGCACTTGAGGGGACACTGGGCAAGGGCCTTGGTGATGGCGCACACGTGCTGACTCAGCTCCTCCCACGAGGCCACCAACAGCACGTCCAGATTTGCCCAAAGCTGCAGAAGCACCAGAGCCTGCGGAGGAGGCAAGCCGGCGGGCATGAGCAGGAGGAAGGCTCCCCAGGACACGGCTGGTAGCTGCCCCACGTGCCAGGCTGGGAGACAAGCCCAGCCAGCAGCCCAATCACTGGGACCCAGGCCACCTGACTCACCCAGCTCAGACAGACTCTCACCTCCTCCACCTCTGGCCAGCCCACGGCCAACTCCACACCGGCCACCTGCAGGCTCTCTGGCTGTGTCCCACGGGGAACGTGCTGGCGAGACCTGAGCAGAGGTGACTGTCTCTCCGCGTTCCCCATGGGACCTGCCCTGCCCAAGCTCAGCCTCTGCCAGAGCCCACCTGGGGAAGTGGCATCAGCTGTGCCACAGCAACCCCAGAAGTGTGCCCACCTCCCCTGAGCCCCCGTCCCAGGCACCGCTGTAAGCATAAGCGTGAACGGTACCACAGATAGGCATCCAGCCCGATGACAGCCAGGTGGGGCCGGGCAGTGATCTCGGGGGTGATCCAGGGCACCCAGCGGGTTGGGCCAGAGATCTGAAGATGACAATGCATGGTACAGTTGTTCACGGGAGGCTGCGGCTCAGGGCTATGGGTCACCAGGCCACGGCCTGTTTGCAGAAGAGCAGCAGCCCTGAGAAAGAGCCAGAGGTGCCAAGAGGAGCCTCTACTCCATTACCCCTTCTGGAAAAACCAGCTCTGTGCCTCCCATGAGGCCAAGGAAGCTAAAGAGACCCCCGGAATGGCTGCCTGGACACGTCTCAGTTCCACTAAGCTCCCTCATTCCTGGTCTACCTCCCAGAAGCTTTCCCCATCACACCCCAGAAACCTTTACGGTTATGGATCAGAGAGGAGTCAGAGAGGAGTCCCAGCCTGCCCCATGCCCCTTGCAGCCCCATCTACAAGGGCAGGGACCGACAGAGCAAGCGCCTCCGGGCTGGGAACCCACACCTCCTAACTGTGGAGAGGGACTCCTGCCGCCACCTGAGCACCTGGGTCAGTGTAGCCACGCCCTGCAGAAACTCCTCCGGCTCCAGCAGAAGCAGCAATTCCTGTTCACCTGCAGCCCACACTTCAGGAGGCAGCTGTGGGGACAACGGCAGGCTGCCTGTCTCAGCCCCGGGTGCCCCAGAGGCCCTTCCTGGGGAGTCCAACAGCAACGTGGTTCGTAGCCCCAGCCAAGTCCAGGCCCTGCCAAGCCCAGGCCCTGCCAAGCCTGCTCTGTGGTGTTCCCTTTCCTGTCAAGGGCAAGCTCGGGACAGGTCTCCACAGCCTCACTCAGGCCGGAACCCTCTCCAGCCAGCTAGGTTCTTTACCAGCAGAACGGCTTGGGCAGCTCCACTTCTCATTCTCTATCCTAGGTTTACCCATCCGCACCGCCCAGGGACAGCTCCAGGACTGAAGTCATGGAGGCTCCAGGACTGAAAACAGTCGAGTCGGGGCTGGCCCTCGGGAACCCGCGACCACTCACGCTGCGGGGGCAGGGGTCGGGACTCGCTCGGGTCCACTGCAGGCTCCGCGCCGGGCGCTGGGGCTCGATGAGGCACTGGCAGCCCAGGGCCTCTAGGGCCTCCATCAGGACGTCGGCACCGGCGTCTTCCAGGAAGGCTGGGACCGGGGAAGAGGAGTGAGGTCACTGCCTCCTGCCCCCCTCGTGGGCGCCCTACCTGGCCTGGGGGCCCGGGCCGGGGAGTCTGCATTCGGCACAAGACCCCGACTGGGATGCAGGTGCCGCCCCAGGGCCCTCAGCGCGCGCGCACCGCCCCGTCGGACGGAGAATGCCGCCCGGCCGGGAAAGGCCTTTCCTACCCCGACCATCGCCCGCGCGCTCCGCCGCACCTGGGTCCACGCGCACCGCAAGGCGCCTCAAGACCTGCTCCGGCCGCAGCAGCCGCAACGCCTCGGCCGCCGCCCTTCGCTCCCCAGCTGGGTCCCGGGCTCTCGCGGCGGCCTCCGAGTGGGCGGGGCCCTCGGTGTCGGAGTCCGAGATCTCCCAGGTTGCAGGTCGCCACTGGCCGCTCCGGCCGCGGCGAGAGGCCCCCGCCCTCCCAGCTCCAACCCGCGCCATGGCCAGGACGGCTTCTCCTTTGCTTCCGGTCGCGCCCGAACACTTTAGCCTGGAACACCGGCCTCTTCCGGTGGCGGGCGGGCCTGGGGGCGCGCGGCGGCAGCAGTTTCCGGCCGGAGCGCTGAGGGGTTGGCCCCACCATGGCGCGGAAGAAGGTGCGTCCGCGGCTGATCGCGGAGCTGGCACGCCGCGTGCGCGCCCTGCGGGAGCAGCAAAACCGGCCGCGCGACTCGCAGCTCTACGCCCTGGACTACGAGTCCCTGACGCGGCCGTTCTCCGGACGGCGGCTGCCGGTCCGGGCCTGGGTCGACGTGCGCCGCGAGAGCCGCCTCCTGCAGCTGCTCAACCGCCTCCCGCTCTTCGGCCTGGGCCGCCTGGTCACGCGCAAGTCCTGGCTGTGGCAGCACGACGAGCCGTGCTACTGGCGCCTTACGCGGGTGCAGCCCGATCACACGGCACAGGTGCGTGCACCACGTCTGCACCCCTCTCCCGCAGCCGCCTGGTCTCCCCTCCCGGGCGGGCTCGCGGGGCGGCCCCGCCTCCCCTCCTTTCTGCAGGTTTGTGGGGCTGAGGCTCCCCCATCCTGACCTCGGAGGCAGAGAGCCTTGCGAGTTGACCCACTTTCCTCTGGCTTTGCAGAATTTGGACCACGGGAAGGCCTGGGGCATCCTGACCTTCAAAGGTAAGGCTCGGGAGAGCAGGTGCCCGGCGGTCATTGCCGGCCACCAACGGCACAGCAAATGTGTGCAGTACGCCTCTTTCCTTCCCCAGGGAAGACGGAGAGCGAGGCGCGGGAGATCGAACACGTCATGTACCATGACTGGCGGCTCGTGCCCAAGCACGAGGAGGAGGCCTTCACCGCGTTCACGCCGGCGCCCGAGGACAGCCTGCCCTCCGTGCCGTACCCCCCGCTCCTCCGGGCTATGATTCTCGCAGAACGACAGAAAAATGGAGACACAAGCACCGAAGAGCCCATGCTGAATGTGCAGAGGATACGCGTAGAACCCTGGGATTACCCTGCAAAACAGGAGACCAAAGGAAGGGCCAAGGGCACCCCGGTCTAGAACGCCAGAGCCAGCGGGTGGCCTGAGGGGCTGTGAGGTCGTGGGGACCTTGCTGATGAAGGAAACCGTCCTTGCGTTACACCTGAGTCCGCCCCCGGAGTTGGGAGTTCCCCCTCCGAGACGTGTTCTGACGGTCTGCATCGTAGTGGGGAGGGCTGGGGCAAATCGCCAACTGTCTTTCCTCTGGCCCTGCCGCCCCAACACCCAACTCGGAGGGCACGCTGGGGAAAGCGGGAAGTGCTGGTCCCCTTCCCCCATTGGAGCTCTTTCTGGTGGGATCCAGGCAGAAACTGTGAAAGAGAATAAACGGGGAAAGAAACGAAAGAAAACAAACAAGCAAAATAAATAAAGGGGAATAAAAGAAGATAAACACAGGCCAGGGTTGTGTTTTATTTGCGCGCTCTCTGTAGGACCCGGGAGAGAAAGGCTGACGCTGTGGTAACGGCCCTGGTCTGGGGGCGCGGGCGGTGCGGGAGCAGGGCGTCGCGTGGGTGGAACCACCTGGTCGGGTTGTGGCGGGTACAGTTAGTGTCCGAGTCACTGGAGGAGACTTGGCCTCCGCAGCTGCTCTCCAGCCCCCTAGGGCTGCTGGGTTCCGGGGTGCAAGTGAAGCGAGATTCCTCTTGGTCGTCCGCGGAGGCTGCCGTGCTGGGTCCAGGCTCCTTTAAGCACAGGCCCCGCCCCAGGCGCCGCCGCCCCGCCCCGCAGAGCTCGCTCCCGCGCCGCCATCATGATCTGCTTGGTGCTGACCATCTTCGCCAACCTCTTCCCCGCGGGTGAGCGGAGCGGCGCGGCGCGTGCCGGGGTCGGGCGGGCAGTGCTGGGCCGGACTGACGCCCTGTCCCCGCCCGCCCCGCAGCCTGCACCGGCGCACACGAGCGCACCTTCCTGGCCGTGAAGCCGGACGGCGTGCAGCGGCGGCTGGTGGGCGAGATCGTGCGGCGCTTCGAGAGGAAGGGCTTTAAACTGGTGGCGCTGAAGCTGGTGCAGGTCGGGGCGCGGGGCGCGGGGCGCGGTGGAGGGACGGGCTGAGCGGGCGCGGGGCGGGGACGTGGGGACGCTTGGGTCCCAGGCGCGGGCGCAGGCGGCCTGACCCTTTCGCAGGCCTCCGAAGAGCTTCTGCGCGAACACTACGCCGAGCTGCGCGAGCGCCCGTTCTACGGCCGCTTGGTTAAGTACATGGCCTCCGGGCCGGTGGTGGCCATGGTGAGTACCTGGGAAGCGGGCGGGCGGCCCCAGGACCTCCACCTCCCCGTGACACCGCCCCCGACCCGCCCGCACAGGTATGGCAGGGACTGGACGTGGTCCGCGCCTCTCGAGCGCTCATCGGGGCCACGAACCCGGCAGACGCCCAGCCCGGCACCATCCGCGGGGATTTCTGCATCGAGGTTGGCAAGTAAGGCCGGACCCAGGGACGGTCCCAGCCCTGTCTGGCCTGCGTGGGACCCGTGACCCAGCTCTCTTTCCTGCGCTCACGCGCGCCTCTTCCACTTAGGAACCTCATTCACGGCAGCGACTCGGTGGAGAGTGCCCGCCGCGAGATCGCGCTCTGGTTCCGCGCAGAGGAGCTCCTGTGTTGGGAGGACAGTGCCGGGCACTGGCTGTATGAGTAGCCCGGTGGGTGCGCGTCGCAGAGGTTCTGCGGCACCAGCCTCCTCCAGGGCCCAGGTGGCCAGGCTTTCAGACCCGCCCTGCAGCGCTTTGAACGTCCCTTCTGATGGGGTGCTGAACATCTGTCAGGACATTGCATCGAGGGTGGCATGCGATCCCCCCAATCCCTGGCGTACAGGGCTTACTGCCCGAGACGAGTTGCTCCAGGCAAGCCTGCGTGGCTCACCTGGAAACGTGCCAGAACACTGTCCTGGTGCCCAGCCCAAAGTGGTCCAACATTTCTTTTTATAATAAAATCCTAGTGTTTGTGTGGTTTTGGTCTGGGAACAAGCAGCTACGATGTTAAGACGTTTATTACATACAGAGCAGATATGTGGGTTTGCTTGCAGGACCAAAGCCTGAGGAGAATCGTCACCCCTCCCCCAGCCGCCCCATCAGTCAGCCGGGAGTCACTTCCAGATCCTGGGGGCACAGACGAGGGACCGGACATACATCACAGTGGAGGTGGCAGGGTGGTGGGGAGAAGCCGGCAGCGCAGCAGCTGCAGCCCGCGGTAGCCGGCTGGGCTCATGGGGCAGCTCCCCAAGATCTGTGCTTCTCTGGTTGGGGATGGGCAAGGGGCTGGGCTGCCCTCGTCGGGGCCTCCCGGACAGGAGTGCAGTGGGCCTGGAAGGTGGGAGTAGGCCAGCGAGGCCCGGCTGGGCAGGAGAGCAGTCCAGGGTAGCAACTGCTCCCTATGCAATTGGAGTCTACTGGAGGTGGCTCCATCCTCAGCTCCATGGGCCTCCGATTGGTGGCCTCTCTGTTGCTCCTGGGGAACGGGCCACAGCGGGCAGCCCTAGGCACTTAGTAGCGTGTCTGGGAGCTGGGCTCTGTGGAGCCCCATGCAGGAGGCAGGCCCCAGGAGCACACCATCCCCCATCAACCTGAGGCTGAGCCTGCATCCTGGGACTGACCCCGGAGAGGCCAGGGGCCTCCCCTTCTTCCTGAGGCCTGGGCCTGCCCTGGCAGCCTGAGAAATCCCAGCCTGGGGGCTTCTAGGAGGCACAGGACTCCAGGGCCCACTCCTCCAAGGAGTCTTCTGCCCAGGCAGAGCCTGAGGGGACACAGGTCAGAGCAGGGCTGGTGAGACCCTGCCTGCATGGACGGGATGGGGTAGCAGTCTTCTCAAGCAGTTGCCCTGGGGAGCTGGGCCTCGTGCTTTGATGCCAACTCCCTGGGCAGGGGACAGCCAGGATAGGGACAGACAGAGGATAGGGGCTTGAGGACAGGGGGGCCCCAGAGAAGGCCAGCTGGGGTACAGGCACCTGGGTAGCCTGAGGCCCACCTCCCTAGGCAAAGGCTAGTGCTTGGCCTGGTTCCCCTAGGCAGAGTGAGGGCCCAGGACGCAGGTGGGCCCGCAAGCAGCATGCAGAGGTGGGCCCAGGGCAGGCAGCCTCGGTGGTGGGGAGCCCCTGCCTCCTCTCCCGGGGTGCTGGGAAGTAGGAGGCCAGGGCAGAGCCAGGGCCACCTCAGATCCTGCCTGCGCTGGGCCCAAGGTGCCCTGGACTTGAGGACTCTGGGCTGGAAATTGGCCAGGAGCTGCCCGGGAACAGTGTCCCGAGAGCATCTTCCTCTTGGGTGGAAGCACCCCCTCCGCTCCTCCTCCCAACTGACTGGCATCCCCACACTCCCTGCCCGCTGGAGAGGGCCAGACTCAGGTGAAAGCTGCAGGTTGAGAGGTTAGAAAAGGGGCGGTGGCGCCTGGCTGGCTATCCTGCAGGGCAGGCGGGGTCAGGTGGGCAGGGGTCCTATATACAGGTCCGGCCAGGCAGGGTGGGCGGCCTCACTCTGGGGTGTAAGACACCTGCCACACGATGATGTGGCTGCGCTCTGCCTTGGACAACATGGGCTTCACCTGGCTCACGTCCCCCATGCCCTCCTCCGTCTCATCATCCTCTCCGTCTCCTGCGGGCAAGGCAGCAGTCAGGGCCAGGCCCCCCGATCCCATGCCCAACCTGAGCCCTGTCCCTAGGGCCACTCACCGATGCGAAAGTCAATGTAGCCCTCCCCGCCACTCAGCACCAGCACGTTCCGCAGCTTCTGGCCCTCGGCTTCTGAGGCGGGGGCGGCCGGCCCAGGGCCCTCGGCTGGGCTGTCCAGGACGCTCCCATTCAGGGTGGCCAGCACGTTCCCTGGGATGGCAGAAGCAATTCAGGATAGCAGCCTCCTGAGTGCAGCGGCAGCGGCCACTGGCCTGCCGGGTGTGGACAGCAGCAGGAACCCAGCCTCACCTGGCACCGAGACGAAGAACTTGACAGCATCTCGGTGTCCGTGGAAACAGAGCTGCGCCTGGGCCATGGAGCAATAGGGGATGAAGCTGCTGGCTGCCCTGTCGCTGCTGTCGTCACCGTACACATGGATGATGCCCCCGGGGCGGGCGCCCTCCCCCGAGGTGGGGGACGTCTTATTGGCTGCAGGGAGAGAACCCAGAGGCGCTGAGCCCCCACACAGATGGAGGGTGGAAGAGGCTCCTGTGGGGGGATGGGAGGTGGCCGGGCTTACCTCGGAGCCCCAGGAGCTGGCCTCGGTGTAGGACCACAGCTGGGGACATGGGAGGGGCAGGGGAGAAGAGGAGACAGATCAGCAGATGGGCAGCAGGCACCCTCCCAGGTGGCGCTGCAGAGCCACCCCCTGGGAACTCATGGGCGCCTCTGGCAGCTCCACCACCCCTGCAGGGCCGCGGGCCACTCACTCTCTGTCAGGGGGATGGAGATGACCACTCCGTTGCCAGTGCCCACCCAGAGCCGGCTGCCTGCGACCAGCAGGGCTGTGATGCGCACAAAGGAGAAGCCCAGCTTGCCGGTGCCTGTTGGGGAGGGTGGTCAGTTTGGCTGGCCTTGAGCACCCTGCTGCCCCACCCACCTGGTGCAGCCCCTCACCCAGCATCTTGCTGACATAGGGCTCGATGTCCACATCCTGCAGGTGCTGGTGCGTGTGTGCGTGGTAGAGCCGCAAGGTAGAGTCCAGGCGGATGGACACCCACACCCCATCGCCGATCCATGCCAGCTGCCGCACCTGGCTCTCCCGCCGAGGGTGGGCGTCAAATGACTTCTGTGGGGTTATGGCAGTCCATCAACAGGGCTGGGGAGAGGAAGTGGGAAGCCCCAAACCTGCCACAGCCCCGGGGCCACCTGTGGCCCCCTCCAACGCCCAGCCAGTGCTTGCTTTGCCCCGTTAGAGCCTGAGTCACAGGCAGTGCAGGGGGCTGGGCCTCCTGGACTTCTGTGTGGAAGGTGTCGGAGCGCTGCTGGCCGGCAGAACCCCTCCCCTCCCCGGGCGGGCCCGTGCCAGCACTCACCTCAATCTGCATGGTCTTGGGCTGGATGACGTGCACCTTGTTCTTATAGCCACACCACACGCGGTCGTACACAACAGCCATGCATCGGATAGAGTGGTGCGGGTGGCCCAGGTCCATCAGGTGATAGTTGCTGAGGTCCCACTGGCCATCTGTGGAGCCCAGATACCTCAGGCCTGGCCAGTCCCCACCTCTGCTCATGGCATCAGGGGTTGAGACACCCAGTGCCAGGCTAAGGAGAGGCCTGGAACCCCGGGAGCCCCCCCAGTCACTGGCAGGGCTGTCGGCTGCCACCCACATACCCCATGCCACCAGGCCCCACCTTCACCACGGTGGAAGATGGCAAGGGTCCCGTCTGCCAGAGCCACCAGCACGCGGCCTTTGACATGCCTGTAACAGGAATGCGGTGAGCCTAGTTTGGGCCAGGCTATGCTAGCCCCTCCACCCAGTCCCCCCACCCCCACCCCACCCCTGATGCCCGGCCCTCAGCCTGGGGTCACCCACACCAGGCTCAGCACGGAATCCTTCAGCTTGATGGAGTGCAGGCACTTCTTCCAGTTGGCCACAGCTGAGTGCACGTAGAGCCTGTAGAAGGAAGTGGCGGTGGGCAAGGCGCTCCCCTGGGACCTCCCTCCACCCTGCCCAGGGCCCTGCCTACCAGCCGTTCTGGGCCCCCAGCCACATGGTAGGTGCAGCACTGCTGCCTGCTCCCGTGGGGTCCCCGCTGGGCTCTGGCTCTGGCTGCGTGCCGCTGCTGTCAGGCTCTGGCCCATTCTCGCTGCGAGAAGGATGGTGGCTTGAGGCAGGCCACGGGGTGTGCACCTGCCCTAAGACCCTTCCCACCTCTGCCAGCCTTCTTTCTGCTGCTGCCCCAGCCCAAGAGCTTACCTGCCAGGTTGGGGGCCAGAGGGCAGGGCGGGGGCCGGGTCGGTGAAGACGTGCTCTGTGAGAGGCCCGGGCCGCAATGCAGCAGTCTCTGGCTCACTGGGCCCAGGGTCTGGTACCTCCGTGGCCTCTGTGGCCTCCTCTGTGGACTGGGACGGGTTGACCTTCCCGTTGGCGATGGCGGCCACCTCCCCTGTGTTAGGACAGGTGAGCTTGGGCTGGGCAGAAACGTGGGAATGAGGGGATGGGGAAAACTCGCCCGGGACTCACCCTGCCCCTTGTCCAGCACCGGAGTGTCCCCTCGGGAGGAGCAGTTGCTCCGCGGCACGTTGCAGCGGGTGGCACAGCCCACCAGGGTGATACCGGCCAGCACGCCATCTGCGCCCACATCCTCTGGGTTCACGTCGCTGTCCAGGAACATCTCCCCAGGCGGGTAATCACTGTCACTCGCCGCTGGGGAGAGGACGGCCCATCAGCCTGTGCTGGGAAACCCACTACTGCGAGGGTGTGCCTAGCACTCATACAGGGGTGGGACAGAGGAGTGGGGGCTGGTCTTCCGCTCTCCCAGCAGACCCAGCCTCCACACATGGCTCCACCCACAGCCCACCCAGGACTCTCTGCCTGGAGGCCTGGGACGATTTCAGCAAGCCTGCTCTGTTGGGTGGGCCCCTGGGCCGAGGCAAGCTGAGTAGTAAGACTCCCATCCTGGGAGCAAACAACTCATGATCCTGTGGCAGACCCCTAAGAACCCTCAGGAGCTCAGGGCCATCTCTACAAACAGCCCTGTGGTTTCACACCAGAGACCTAGCAGAGCCCTGGGCAGCCCTTTGTTCTCCCAGTGTTGGGGCTGGGCCCAGAACCTCACCAAGGCTATCGCCCTCAGGGGTGACATGAAGCCCCTCATCCATACCCCTTGGTCCTTGGTGAGGCCGTGAGATTTCGGCCCAGCTGGAGGTTTCACTTTCAGCATGAGGAAATGTTTTCCTCTAGTCCAAGTGATGCTTCAAGCTTCAGGCTGGACTACGGCCCACCCGTCGCTCTCTAACCAAGTAATCGTGGCGTGCAAAGTAGGAATAAAGGTCGAGGCCACGGCAGTGTTGCCCCTCCCACCGTCCCCTCACATTCCTGTGTCCACAGGACATCACGAGAGGACGGGTGCTGTGTGGCAGGACTTTTACTGAGCCTCCTAGCAGAAGGGAGTGGTGCCCGAGTGGAAGCACCCGCTCCAGGCCACGCTCACCGGGGATGCTGGCGATGCACAGCACGTGCGCGTTGCAGACAGTGAACTGGTCCACCACGGTGCCTGGCTGGTTGGCGTCGATGATCACCACCTTGCTGGTGGTCAGCGTGCTGGTCAGGATCCACACCCGGCTGGAGGTGGCGTCCATCTCGGGGAGCTCCTTCGACTGTTTCAGGGTGAGGGATCAAGCTCAGAGCCCCAGCCTGAGGCTACCCGACAGCAATAGGGGCCGTGGGGCTCCCGGAATCTGTCAGGGTCCAGCCTTGACTTTAGCTTGAGGGAACATGGCTATCCTCCCCCACGGCCAGAACAATGAGTGTGGGTAACCCCCCATCCAGGTACCAAGGAAGGAGAGCTAAGCAGAATCGTGGCACAATTAAGGCCTGAAGAGTATCTGTTATTTCCTTTTATATAATCCTTTATATACTCATATATTAGTTTACAGAATTAGGGCTTGGAAAACATCTGTTTATAGTGTTACTACTCGGTTATTTCCCTTTATATAATCCTCTGTATATAATCATGTCAGTTCACAGAGTGCCTAAGGAAAATTTTACCCCTCAGTCATTCCCCTATACATATATATAACTATATCTCAGTTCATAGTCGGAGGAGTGCCTGGAGTGGACACAGTACAGAGCATGAATTAAGGAATAAGCAGCTTATAGTCGGAGGAATGTCTGGAGCAGACACAGTGCAGAGCATGATTTAAGGGAAAACAGTTACACCAGGACAAGAATCCATGGCCCAGGCGGCAGCGTTCAGTATCGGAAAGATACCCGCTGGATGGCAGGCTTGGGGTGAGGGCCACTCCTCCTGATAAAGGAGTTGTAGGACCTTGCTCCAGTTCTTGCAGAAGGCTGCCCTCAGAACGGCAATCCACCTTGGTGACTGAACTTTATCAGCTCTTGCTACTGTGCTGCTCGAAAAGCATCTTCCCATAGAACCCATTGGAAGCTGTCAGCAGGTGGCGGTAACCCTGGCAGCTCTGTCACTACTGTGTGAGTTAAAGCATCCTCCATAAATCTTCTTAGAAGTAGCTCGCCCATAGATAGACGTATTGCGCACTGCACCCTCTTCACTGCGCACGGCCCACCTTCAAGCCTCGGCGACCTAATGGGGGTGGACACCTTACTGCACACAGTCCTTGCCTTCATGGGAACGGGCCCCTTGCTGCGCACTATCCACCTCCTAGCCTAGGTGACCTAATGGAGGTGGACCCCTTGTTTTATTGCTTACAACCCTATCACTAAAGATGATTTCACTCACTGCCCTGCCCCCTAACCTATACACAATAAATACTCATGCTTCTGGACATTCGGGGCCTCACCAGCCACTCGCCGGCCTTGCCTGACTCCGCTCATAGGTGGCGTGGCCCCTCAAGCCCAGCCGCGTTTTCCTTGTACTTCTGTGTCCTGTCTCTTTATTTCTTGGATCCTGCGCCTCAGCACAGCATAAGGGACACCCCACGACCCTGTGGGGCCTTCAGCCCTACAAATAGGGCTCAAGACCGCACTCTAAAGCGATCCATACACAGTTTTCCCCCCACAGAGGAAGCCCTTAAGCTCCAAGAGGCCCAAGCTGGGCCATAAGACTAAGCCTCTGACCACTGGGAAGCAAGCTCTGCCACTCCTGGGCTCTATCACGCCTGCTGCCCGCCTGACCCCCGCAGCTCAACCAGCGCAGGCCCACTCAGGCCCACTCCAGGCCACCGGCGGGGAAAGAGGGGAGAGGAGGGGAGGAGGCAAGGGGAGGGGAAGAGGAGAGAGGAGAGGGACAGCCACAGGGACCAAGACTGCTGGATGGCACTCCCGCTGAGAACCCAGGAGGCGGCTCAGCTCTGGGGAGGGAAGACACTGCGAACCAGGAGCCCCTGCGAGGCCCAGCCTCTGGGTGCTGTGCCCAACTGTCCCGTGTCTCACTCCCAGCATGCTCTGCAGCTGAGCTGTCCAGAGACTAAGTCAGGGAGGGTGCCCGGTGGCCTGAGCCATGCTCACCTTCTTCTTCTCGGGAGACGCATGGGCACTCTTGGGCTCACCGTCCCCTTCCCGGTCGCAGGTCAGGGGGTCGCGGCCTGGCGCTGGCTTGACTCCATTCCCAACGTCGTCCTCACTGGGCCTCCACCCGCACAGGTTGACACCCGCGGCACACCACAGCTGAAAGGGCAGGGCCAGGCTCGGGTGACACCAGCGCTCTCCAGCCTCCCGTCCACCCAGGCGGCCTGAGCGGGTTCCTCGCGGGCTCACCTTCATGGTGGGGTCCTTCTCCACCAGAGGGCGGCAGTACACGGGCACCGGCACGTTCTTCATCCGCGTGTCCTCCTGGCCCCCATTGGGACTCAGCTGCAGGAAGCAGGGAGGCGTCGTGAGCCCGAGCTCTGGCTCCCACCTATCCCTCCAGAAACCTGGGTCAGGCCGGGCTGCTGGCTTCTGGCGGCAGAGCCACCTATGAAGACTCGAGGCAGGTGGGGGTGTGGCAGCCGCGCGACTCCTCCTCCGACCCTCCAAAGCCCGGCGCAGGAGGCTCACTAGGAACCCGCCCCGCCCGCCGTCCCCTTCCCACCTCTGGCACTGCCCCGCCTTCGCCCCGCCCCTCAACACGCCCGTCCCCGCAGCGTCCGGCCTGTACCTGCTTGTACTTGGCGGGCAGGCTCCAGCCGCAGGCCTGCAGACGGCCGTCGTCGTTACGGACGTGCTCACGCACCTGACGATACTGCTCGCGCTTCTGCTCTCGACGGGCAGAGGACGTGCAGTCGCTGAGTGGAAGAATGATGGGTGACATCTCTGTCCAGGGTGAGCAGCAGCAGAGCAGCAGGCACCCACAGTGCCCCAGGCCTGCCCTAGGGGAGGCCAAGGCAGGGAGGCCCGCCTGGGCCCATCCTTGCTTTTTTCTGGCCACTGGGTGCCCAGATGGCGAGGGTGGCTTTCCCAGCACCAGGCATGGCCGTAGGCTTGGAGGCCACAGCTGGCACCTGCTCAACCCAGAGGCTGCTCTGCTGCCACAGCCACTGAGGGCTTCAGGGACCAGGACCCAGAGTGCCACCGGGACACAGGTGCGGCCAGTGACTCCTTGCTGGATGTGTGCCTGAAATGGCTCTGCAGCTGGAGCCTCAACAGCAGCAGAGCCCAGGGGCTACCGTGAAGCCCAGCACAGCTGTTAGTGGACACAGATATCCTGAAGTAAACACTGTGGAGCCAGAGCAGCCCAGCTCCCCGCAGTGGGGAGGGGCAGGCACTGTGCAGGGAAAGGTCACGACCTCTGGCATGTGGCAAGCAAGGTGGAGGCTGCCCTCAAAATCCTCCTTCAGGGCCTGGAGGAGAGGGGCCCCTGGACAGGGCCTCCTCAACCCCCTTGCAGGCCACATATGGGGGCCAGAGGACACTCACTCATCGGGGAAGAACTCCAAGGGCCGGCTGCCCGCCGAGATCGGGCACATGGCGTGGCTGCGGCGCTGGCTGAAGCCAGCTGTGGTGGGTGACTTGTAGTGGATGTTCACTGAAGGGTAGGGGCGCTTGGCCGGAGGCGGGCTGGAGGAGGAGCTGAAGAGGCGGCTGAAGCTGCCGGAGGCACAGGGAGGTGAGGGGTTGGGCAGAGGACCAGAGAGCCTCCCTGCCCCCTCCCCTGCAGCTCCTGGCCACACCCCCCAGGTGCCCCCAGCTTACAACTGCCAGATGGTAGACTTCTTCTTCTCCTGGACGGACGGGTGCTCTCGGGAAGCTCTACAGGGGAGGGCACAGGGAGCAACGTGCTAGCACCCTCACGCCTCCCTTGCCTGGGCCTCTCCAGGTTCCCATCAGGAAGCACACAGCGCACTTCAGTCCCCCCCAGAAGAGAGGGAGGTGCAGAGGGAGCTGCAGTCGTGCTGACTGGGATGACCCCGCAGCCACTCCTGGGGAGGCTGCAGCTCCCACCTGATCATCTCGGTCCACCGCACAGCCTCCTGCAGCTCCATCAGTCGCTCCTTGTACTGGTTCCGCTCCATGAGCACCCGGGCCATCTCCACCCGCGTGAAGCGGCGGCGCTGCGCCATGGGGATTTTGTCCTGCAGATGGGAGGCACACAGACTCAGCCAGCCCCTGGAGGCCAGGTCACACCTGCTTCCTCCTCGGGTGCCTCCCCTGGGGCAGGGGGCGTGGCCTCCAGGTATAAGTGGATCTAAGTGCCAATTTCCTGCAGTTCCTCAGGCAAAAAGTGGTGTGGAGGTATGTGGGTAAGGGGGGAGGGGAACCCTGCCAGGGCTGCCATGACATGCATGAGGTATGATGTGGGTGACTTTCCCTGCATGGCTTTGGAGGCCCCCAATGTATCAGGTGAGGTGCAGGTGGGCCCGGTCCTGTGTGAAATGAGCAGGCAGTTGACACTCTAAGAAGGGTCAGCCGGCTGAACACTTGAGGTTCTGACAGACCCGTGTGGGGTCTGCAGTCTGCTCCCTCCACCCAGGGATGCCCAGCAGAGCTGCCAAGGAATGACGAAGTACATGGCGGGTAGGCAGTGGGGTCCCCATATGGCCTGTAACACTCAGCACTTCCTGCTTACAGGTGCCTGTCCAGTCTCAGGCTATGACAAGGGGCCGAGGCCCAGGAGGACCAGTGTCGCCTTCAGCTCCTGCAGGAGGGGCTGGGTGGGGGAAACGTGACTCGCCTTCAGCTTGTGTTTCTCCTGGACCATGGGGAGCACAGCCTGCACGGGATGGCCTGAGATACATAACCTCACTTTATCGACACCACAGCCCCCAAGTGACAGTCAGTGTGTGTGAAGTCGGCATCCTTCCTGGAGTAGGGCCTGCTCTCTTTAAGGAAGGCAGCCGCTGGCCAAATGACAGACAGCATTCCCTTTGGCCTCTCCCCTGAAAGGGGTGGTGGTTCTGAAGGTGAGGGCCTGCAATACCCAGGCAGCAGAGAGCTTGCCCTGGGGTCTCCCGGGCTCCTGGGGTGGGGTGGGTCCTGGGAAGGGGACAGCAGGAGACTGGCCAGGCTGCAGAGTCAGGGAGACCCGCTTGTGACCATGCAAAAGGCATGCACGAGGATGCTGACAGGTGAACTGGCGTCCCGCCAGCGCTATGGTCCTGCCCAAGGGCCTGGTTCTGACTCCATGTGATCTGGGGAGTGGGGTGGCAGATGATGCGACTGGGGTCACATGTCATACAGGAGGGGTGGGAAGGCGCTGAGTCCAGAAGAGCTGGTGAGTCCCCAGAAGCCCACCTGGCCCCCTTCCCGTGGCCCCAGCCCTGCATGTGAATAGTGGAATATACTGATTCTGAACAGAGACAGCAGATCTGGTGAGTCACTGGGATCCCGCCCCCAATGCCCATGCTCCGAGTGTGAAGAATGGGATATATGGCATGGGAATGGCCAACAGTGAAGTGGACTGCGTGGGAACGGCCAACAGTGAAGTGGACTGCGTGGGAATGGCCAACAGTGAAGTGGACACTGTGTGGGAATGGCCAACAGTGAAGTGGACACTGCGTGGGAATGGCAAACAGTGAAGTATACTGCGTGGGAATACTGACATGTACTACATGTGAATGGTGAAAGGTACCATGTGTGAATGGTAGGTGCCCTGCCTGTGAATGGTGGCCGCCCCGCGTGTGAGTGTGTGGGGTTGGTGGACACCCAGCATGTCAGTGCATGTGAATGGTGGCCGCCCCGCGTGTGAGTGCGTGGGGTTGGTGGACACCCAGCATGTGAGTGCGTGTGAATGGTGGCCGCCCCGCGTGTGAGTGCGTGGGGTTGGTGGACACCCAGCATGTGAGTGCGTGTGAATGGTGGCCGCCCCGTGTGTGAGTGCGTGGGGTTGGTGGACACCCAGCATGTGAGTGCGTGTGAATGGTGGCCGCCCCGCGTGTGAGTGCGTGTGAATGGTGGCCGCCCCGCGTGTGAGTGCGTGGGAATGGTGGACACCCAGCATGTTAGTGTGTGTGAATGGTGGCCGCCCTGTGTGTGAGTGCATGGGAATGGTGGACACCCAGCATGGGAAGGCATGGGAATGATGAAGGGTGGCTGCCCCGCGTGTGAAGAGTGAAGAGCGGATGTACCGATTCTGTACAGAGATAGCTGCTTACATCCTCCGCCTCTTCTTTGGGTTCGCGGCGGGCGATGATGGCCTCAGACTTCACTCTGCGGGAAGGGCAAGGAGGCAGGGAGGGTGAGGGCCTCCCAGAGGCCTCGGGAAGAAACAGCGGGCAGTGCCCGCCCCAGACTTGTGTCCTTGCCTCTGTGCAGGGCTGGGGGCTCTCCCCGCAGCAGCCCTCTGGTTCAGGGCCCAGAGCTCTGCTGCCGGTTCTCTGGGGACAGGTGGTCCTGCACCACCACTGTACAAGTGTCCCGAAGCCCAGCCTTCCATCCTGGCTGCCTGGGAATGCGGAGAGGGGCAAATCACAGGGGCCCTGGCTTCAGCAAACCCAGAGCAGATCCGGGTCCCCTCTTGGGCAGAGGCACAGTCTCGGGACTCCACACCTCCTCTGCTTATCAGAGAAAGGCTGGAGCCCCAGCACACAGCTCTCCAGGGTCCACAGCCAAACCTTGGCTGATCAAAGGGCTGGAGGAGTGGGATCGTGGGAGCTGCAGCTGAGCCCCACACGCCACGCAGTTAAGGACGCGTAAGACAGGCCCAGCGTGCGCTGTGGGAGGCTCAGGAGACCACGGCCCCTCTTGGGCTGGTCAGGGTGAAGTGGCTGTGAGCTGGAGCTGGGGGTGCACAAAGCCACTCTGGCTGGAGAGCAGGCACTGGAGAAGGCAGCCGCTCCGGAGCCCTGACGCCGGGTGCCTCTGTGACGGGCTCTCCAAGCCCCCGCCCTCACCTTTTCAGTTCCTCTTCCAGCTCCTTGATGCGGTTTTCCAGCTTGACTTTGGCCTGCTTGGCAGCCTCCAGCTCACCCCTCAGCACTTCCTGCTCCCCGGACAGCTGGTCAACCTTGGCAATGAGGTCATTCTTCACCACGTTCAAGGCGTTTCTTTGAAAAAGCAGAAAGATGGGAGTGCAGTCTCCCAGCCCTGGCGAGGAGGGCTGCCTCAGCCTCGCCGCACGGGAGAAGGGCCCTCTTACTTGGTTTCCAGAAGCTGTGAGTTTTCCAGCAGCAGATTTCCCACTTCTTTGCCCATTCCTGAAACAGAAGGTGCAGAGGTTTCACCTGTGCCCTTGGAGGCAGGACCCTGGTGCTACCGCACCTGCCTCAGGGTAACCACACATCTGGAGAGGGTGGCCTGGTGGGGGGTGACGCCCGATCTGCAGGGAACACAGAGCAGGCTCCCAGGCCTTGGGGTGGTTCTCATGACTGATCAATGTCACAGGCCAGCTGGCCAGATGCAGGCCTCTGAGTGGCCCAACTGTGCTGTCACCTCAGTGCCCCCAGTAGTCCCATCATGAGGCAGGCCCTCTCAGAGCCGCCACCCTCAGGTGAATGATGTTGGGGCTGGGGTGAGGGGCAGGTGGGTGAGGAGAGGCCTCTCACAGTGGGGCCAGCAGGGATGGGGCATGGCAGGGCGGCTGTGAGGACCGTGGCTCCCTGGTGCCTTCCCATAGTGGGACTGATGGCTCCTCTACCATCAGGCCCCAAGTGAACCTGGACTGAGCTCCTGCAAGCATACCCAGAAACCCCAAAAGAATGGAAAGAAACTCCAAGGTCCGGCCTTCCCACACACTGCCCCAAATCTACGCAGTCAGGAAACAGCATCACACGCCTCCGTGCCTGGGCTCAGGGGTCCTCCTGCCTGAGGCCTCCATTGTGACCTCCCTTGCCTCAAACATGGGCCTTCCTCCCCACAGACAGGGTGTGCCCTGTGCTTGTGGGGACTCAGAGAGGTTGGGGCTACCTTCCTCAGGCCTTCAAGTCTGTCCCTTGGGAGAAGTTGCCGCCTCCCACAACCCAGAGGCAGCTGGGACAGAGCTAGCCTCACCCGGGGCTGCCCCCTGACCCCGGCGGCCCCAATGCTGTCCCCATCATGCAGAACAAAGCAAACAGCTCATGAAGCAGGAGACGATGTAGGGGTGGAGGGGTGACGCGCGGGAACGGGGCCTCAGCCTTACCAAAGAAATCATCACGCACTAGGGAGCCGTCCCCGTCCCACAGGAGATGGGCAACCAGGGCGGGAGGAGAGGGAGAGAGGGAGAAGAGAAACGCGTTAAGCCCGTGTGGACAGCAGGCTGGGGGGAATTCAGGGCTGGGTCGGCTGGGTCTGCTGGGTTAGGGTGGGCGCAGGAGGGAGTTGGGAGGGCAGGAGATGGGACAGAGCCAGCTACTTCTGGAAAGTTTATCCTTGGAATTACATGAAGACTACCAGGTCAATGTCACTTGTGGGGCTGGTAGCTAACATCTTACCCCAAATGCTGGGCCAGAGGGGGCTGGGGACAAAAGGCACCCCTGTGGAGACAGGCTACGCCTGAAGGCTGGGGGGGCTGCACCTGGACAGTCTCTGGGTGGGGCCTCAGAGCCTCCTGCTGTGCAGCCAGAAAGCAGAACTCGGCCTGTCCACCCAGGTGAGGAGGGGGCCCCGGGCTGAGCTTGGCAGGGGCCTCTAGGACCTGGCTTCTGGGGTGCGCCTGACAGCAGGGGAGGACCCAGAGCTGGCCTTGGCTGTGTCTAGTCACTGCCGTGCGTGTCTTAAGGCTCTGCAGGGCCTTCAGAAATGGCCGTCGGGGGACTTTTCAGGCTGTGTCACTGTGAAGTGGCTGGTGGAGCAAACTGAAACAAGCTTCCGAGCTGCGGTGGCGGCGAGCAGAAGCACAGGCGCTATGGCGGCGTGGGGGGCGGGCCACACAGCCGTGGTGTTGGGAAAGCTCAGGGCATCCCAGTCCACCCCCAGCCACAGAGGGGAGACAGACAGGAGAGAGATACACACCTGAGAACTCCCCTGGGCGTGTCCAGCGTGGCACAGAAAGGCGGGGGGGAAGGAAGTGATAAAGGTCAATTGGTGACTGGAACTGACAAAATAAAGAAACTCTTATTAAAGAAAAAGCATCAATGATTCGGCCACTCCCATGTTGCAGGACAAGAGAGAACAGGAGCAGCCTCCAGCAGGTCTGGATGCCTATAATCCCAGGCAGAAACCTGCAGGGAACGGGGCCAGGTGCCGTGGTCCAGCCCAGAGCTGAGCCTTGACCCTGCTCCCCTCTGCTCCCGCCACCCATCAGGAGGGCAGGTCCCCCGCAGCCCCCATGAAGATGGCCTGTGAAGAAGAGTGTGTGGGGCAGGGTGTGGCAGGTGCTCAGCCTCCAAAAGCCCCCAGCGTGGGCGAGACAGACACTGCAGGTGCAGGCCTAGGGCTGGACTCCGAGGCTCCTGGGTCAGCCCAGGTAGGGCAGGACCTCAGAGAAGGGCTACTGAAGACAAACTGGGAGCAAGGACCTCACAGTGGAAGGTGGAGAAAACTAAGCCAGAATGCAGAGGAGGGGTGGGGAGGGTGGTGGGAGCAGCATCCTCACTGGGTCCCGGTTCCCCCTGCACGGACGCAGAGGGAAACACTCGGCGGGAAAACACCACCTCCTCCTCCGCAGGTGAGGATGTGGCTCCGATCTACTTGGTTGCTTTCACACAGAAAAGGAAATGTATTAAAGAGTCACTTGATTTAGACGACAAAAGGGTTGTTTGTTACAGGAATTCCAGTACTAAAGCACCTCAATCAAGAGCAGATGTCCCTCTTTCAAATCGCTTCCCAGGGCAACCGCTGCTAATGGCCAATATTCTCCTCTCAGAGTTCCTTCTAGATAAACAACGGGTTTCAAAAAACAAACAGGGCACCACATCATCCATCTCTCTGGGAGACTTCCTGTGTTCCACTCAGCACTGTCATGGGACTCTCCTGTGCTGAGGTTCCTGGTTGCCTTTATTTATTTTTTGAGCCAGGATCTCACTCTGTTGCCCAGCCTGGAGTGCAGTGGCACCATCACAGCTCACTGCAACCTCGACCTCCCAGGCTGAAGATCCTCCCACCTCAGCCTCCCAAGTAGCTGGGAGTACAGGTGCACGCCACCACGCCCGGCTAATTGTTGTATTTTTTTTTAGTAGAGATGAGGTCTCACCATGTTGCCCAGGCTGGTCTGGAACTCGTGAGCTCAAATTGCTGACTGCAATCTCCGCCTCCCAGGCTTAAGCAATCCTCTCCCTCAGCCTCCAGAGTAGCTGCAGCCACAGGTGCACACCACCAAGCCCAACTAAGCATTTGGTAGAGATGGGGTTTTGCCATGTTGCCCAGGCTGGTCTTGAACTCTGGAGCTCAAATGATCCACCTGCCTTTGCAGGCATGAGCCACTGCACCCGGCCTGGTTGCTTTTAATGCCCTGTAGTGTTTCTCTATGGGAACATCTCGTCATCTGTCACTGCACCTGCTCTCGCGAGACTCGTCCCCGCGTGAGGGCTTGAGGTACCTCTCAGCCTGTGACTGCTTGGCTGCTCCCTCGAAGGCTCCACCGCCGCTACCACCTACAGGTGCTCAGTGGGGCTGCGCCCCTCACCTCTGGCATGGAGGGCAGCACCCGCTCCACCCTAGACAGCCTCGATTGTCTATTTTCAGTCTTGTAGGGAAAATGTTTTCTTGATTTTCTCTTTATTATTTCTAAAATTGAGCATCTTTTCATATGTTTATTGGTATAGTCTGTAAATTTCCTTTTTTTTTTTTTTTTTTT